AGGGAATTATTGCCGGCAACGCGAGGGGCAGCGGCATGGGCATAGTCTAAACGAGGTATATGAAGAAATCCTTTTAATTATTAAGAAAACTACTTTTATGATTACGTAATATACAAGAAGAGGACACGTAACTTAATATTGAATTTTTTGAATGCGACCTACGAGTGCAGGTAAACTGCCAATTTCAATCTTGATTGTGATTTTATGTAATAATAACTATCCTAAGAGTATTAGGATTTTATGACAAATTCTATAGGAAATATACTTATTGATCACAATAATTTGAGCAATGACCGCATATTTTTATAAAAACATGTAGCCTTACAAACCTACTTTACCCAATTTATTAATTAAATTTATAATTTTAAATAAAGTAACTTCTAAAGAGATACTTTTTACGTTATCGCCAATTTTGTAAGCAGAATAAGAACTGCAGTGCTTTTCCGTACGAACAACCTCACTTTTCACCGCTGTATTCACGTCCATCCATGATTTGAAATTCGAATTCTAATTTCAAATTACAAGGTTGACTATATTCTTACAGAATATAGGCTTATATGCTGACAATGCTGGTTAAGATTATTGAAAATAAGAAGTACGACGGCAAGAATGATACCAGTAGCGCCCTCTAGCCGAAAGCCGGTAACTTTTTTATAATAAAGCATACGTTTGCTTTACACAGCATCGTAAAAGTGAACCACATGATGCTTTTGTAAAGCTTTCGTGAATACTTGTTTGTCGTCACTTTTCTTAGGTGGCGTTTAAAAGATACTCTAACTAAAACTTTTTATTTAGTATTTAGTTATCTATTCAAACAAAAAAGTTTTCACTTTAGTATTTCTTGTTGAAAAGACGTTGCCATCGATTGAAAACAGTTTCCGGAAAAATGAAGATTCATTCATTTAAGAGCTTATTGAATTTATTTCTCAATAACCTGGCTGGTGCATTATGATTAATAATATTCTGAACATCAGTTGGAAACATAAAAGTTTTTGACAACTTGCCTGTTTAGTTGATTTGGATACTGTTTTGATTAGCTTTCCGACTTAAATAAATAACTTGTAGGAGTCGGTTATTCCAACTTAGAAATATTTTTTATTTAAAAAAACACAGTAATTGATTCTTCCTATGTCCGTTATAGACTTTGAAAGTGCTTTGAAACCAACCGAGGTGACCAAACCGGTTTCTTTTTGAAATTCAATAATGCGAAGATAGTGGATGGTACACTAAAATAATACATTAGACACGTTTGGTCTATTTCCATATAAAGTCGATTTTCAACTTTTTCCATACAAGAATTTTCAAAACCTGTAAGAGGGTGTGGCGTTCCAAAAAAAGATTTCATGCTTGTTGTATTTTTAGAGTAACAAATTAAGTTTCGTCAAATCGATCTGCTTCTAGATGTACGTTAACTTAAAACACCTTTAATTAAATAATTACACACTGTAATTTGTTACTTCCGAAACAATTATTAAATGTTTATCTGTAAACTTTACGTGTTACTTAATTGTTTCATACATAAGGTTTGTAAAATTTCATTTCAAATCATTTTAATTTTATTAAGTGATTACAATTTAATATCAGCGTCGTATCGTAGAAGTGAAATTTAAGGTATATTATTATATTATTTAATTATTTATCTCCACACTGTTATTCATCCATTATGTTGTATACTTAATTTAGTAGGTAGATTAGTTAATTCCGTATTTATAGATATTCCTTTGGCAATACTACATCACCTATTTTGGGACATCACAGAGTGAATACAAACCCACCAAGTGCGTATCGGACCACGCGCAATGTAAAGTTCCGTAGTTACCCATGACAAAGCACGAAATCGAAAATTATCTTAAGATTTTTGATACTAGGTATTACAATACAATACAATACAATACAAAACACTTTATTGTACACCACAGATAGCATTACATTTTGTACATAACCAATTAAAACTAGTGTAACAATGGGCGGCCTTATCGCTGAGAGCGATCTCTTTCAGACAACCTTTGGATGTAGAGGACTAGAAGGAAGTGGGAGAGACAGCGGCGTAAATCATTTGAGTGATATAGGTAATAATATATACAAATAATATACATACATAAATATAAAGATATATTAAATAAATACATGCATACACATAAATAAACAAATCTAGTTCAGTTGGTAGTAGTCACAAATAAGATTAACATCAAAAGTTGTAAGGACAGATAATGGGACTTTACGAGGGTTTTAAAAGCATGAATAGATTCTGCACGTTGTATGGTAACTGGGAGAGAATTCCACAAATGTACGGCTCGTACTGCAAACGACCGGTTATAAAATATTATAGTGTGTACAGGAGTCATGAGAGTAAGATTTTCTGATGACCTAAGGGATAACATGTTAGAAGTGTGAAATAAATTAAAACATTCCTGAAGATAGCGCGGGGTCTTAGGATTAAACAATATGTTGTAAAGGAGAGCAAGAATATGAGCATTCACTTACTTGCGTTGCGAACGAAATTGAGAAACGTGATCATATTTGCGCAAGTCAAATATGAAGCGGATGCAAAAGTTTTGAAGTCGTTCAAGCATATTTAGCTGGTCCTCCGTGAGATCAAGATAGCAGACGTCAACATAATCAAGAATGGGAAGCAATAACGACTGTGCTAAGGTAATTTTGGTAGTGATGGGTAGGAAATTACGTATTCTTCTAAGCAACGCTGCTGAAACATACAATTTGCGGCTGACCACTTGCATCTGTGGACCCCAGCTCAAAAAATTGTTGTTAAACCAAGGAAAAATCTACAACGATACGACAAGAAATGGATAACTAACGTAATATTTCAAATAAATCCGTAATTAATTTTCGGTGGACCGTCCATTAAACCTACATAAGTAGCGAAATTACAAGGGTTCCTTGTTTACGCGGAACCCCAAAAAAACATGCCTAACTAAAATAACTTCGAAACAAAAACCGGTAACTTAACGATCTCTAGTCGGTCAACACCCATTTTGTTGCTTTCGTATTACATCACACCAACGCATTTAAAAAAAAATTATATAAATCAGATACAAATTTTATAAGATTACAAAAATTCGCCATTTGCGTGCCGTCCCAGTATCATACACGAATAGTTTCGTGCTGCCGTACAAAATACATTTCCATTTATTTTGAAATGAAATTAATTTCACTCAGATTACCTACTCTACCTGATCGAATCACTTTTTTCACAAGGTTTTATTTGATATTCGCTTCTTCTACCAAACTTCTGTATTGCGAAGTAGACATTCGGGTCACCAAACAGTCGTGGTCAGTCGAGCGTAGTTAGGTTAGGGTGGCAACCCGATATCTGCGGAAGCCAGTGTCAAGTTAAATCGCTTCTCATATGACGGCCATCGACCGCTGACAGCCTTACTCTATAGTCCACTAGTAATGTACACACGCCAACACAGTACGATATAAATAGATACAGAGTAGCGGCTCCACAGTAACGAACATAGCGGCCGCAAGCATAATGCACGTACCTACGGGGATCTCAAATTTTCGGGTTTATTCGGGAGAACGTCAGATTTTATAGTAAAATAACGAAACAGGATATGACTTACTCAAAAAGCAGAAGATCTTCTAATATTTTTAAAACATTCTTCAACCTCATTTTGCCAGCCTGCAAGTTGCTTCATCACGTCTCTTTAAAGAACCGGGGTTGTAGGTGGATAAGGGTGTCCACTAAAATATTAAGGCAAATTGCCAAGTTTGCTTGATCTCGTAATCGAGATCTGTATACAAAATCCAGGGGCCACGATCTAAATAACTCCACGTGCAACCAATCGTAAATTAACTATTTTTATACAATTAAACTATTTAGTATGTAATCCGACGAGATTTCACAAACATTATCAATATTCGAATATGTATTTTTTAGTTTTTCTTTTGATAAAACTTAATCATCCTCGAGGTAAAGAAAATCATATCTAAAAGAAAAACCAAAATCTAGGACCCCCCACTGTACGCGTGTGTGCAAATGAGGCCGTTTGGCTCGTTTGTATAGAGCTGAGTTTCTGTGTTATTAATATTGTGGCATCAGTTTACCACATTATCTAATTTTAACAAACTATTGTAATTCTTGTTTGTAGCAAAATAAAGCTAAAAATAACTTAGAATAATTTGACCCGTTTATGACTGTGCAGTACATCAGATACCACGTCAATAGATACAAGTTATATAAGTAACGTTGATACCGTCTTTATTACTTAACAATAAGAGCGCTATTTTTGTTAAAAAAATATTAAATGTCGTTCACTGCACAAGGCTGCTGCATGTAACAACGATTTGTGATACTGTTATTCAATAGGCACGTTGACGTCAAAAAGAGTCAGTTTTATTTTTATTATTAAATAAAGTAATATTTAAAAGTTTATATATATATTATCTCTTTTACTTTTACTGTATTGTACTTACTTAACTAAATAGGATGAAAGACATCTACGAGATCCGACTAATAAAAACTCCTTAAAATCTCTAACTAGGTTATTCAAATTATAGCAATAGAAACATAATACGAATAAATTATTTATTAATAATACCTTTCGTTCAACAATCAAAAGCTTACTAGCCGTACTATGTATAGATACTCGAACTGAACCAATAATCCTATACAAGCTAACCATATTTCCCAGACGCCCTTGATTGGCTAAATTGCCTTTGATAAATAATTTCCTTTCAACTTATTATACGTTATGCGTATAATCCAGATCCAAGATCCAGAATGTCTTTGCATCGACGATTAGTCTTTCCACTAATATACATAACATTAACATTGTTTTCGTCTTAGCGCTAAAAAACCCGCTACTTACAGGTTTTTTTTCTTTAAAAATAGTTTTTTCTCATTACTGAAGTTGCTTGACCAACCGATCAAGGAACGAGTATACCGGGTAACTGAGAAAATGTTATAATATACTGAACAATTGTAATGGATGGGGTATGCTATCGATGGGCTACTAAGCCGATGTCATAAGTCGCCGGGCCCGCTGTGGTACCACACGTGGCCTCTTTAAGTAAGTTAAAACAGTGCGTGCCGTAAAACAATGAAAACAATACCGCGTGCTCGAACTAAGCTTAATACATCAGTAAAATAGGTATATCTGAAAGTTTTAATTTTACTAGCAAATATGTGCAGTAAATACGGTTCGACGGATCTGAAAGAGCAAATTGTGAAGGATACCGTGGTGCCCGAATCGGAGTCTGTAAGGTAATCAGCTAGTAAACGCATCTCAAGAATTATCTAATTCAGTTCAAGCTAACAATGGTCGTTACAATTTGCACCGTTTGACACGCTATCCATCCGCAACTGAAACCCACAAAGTGGTCGAAGCTTCTGGAGTTATGATCTCCCTTTGTGATGTAACACAGCTCTGTTATAAAGTTCATATTAAAGAGGTCAGTGCTTTAAGAAAGTTATGAGCAAATCTCTCCGGTCGGAAAATATTCAAGATTTTCCGCTTGAGTAAGGATTTTCACACTTTTATATTTTCGAATTAGGATGAAAAGTTTATTTGCTATCTTAAATATGATGTAATAAGTGATATTTTAAATAAAACGAAGTATTTGGTTTTACTTTCTCAAATTATTACAAAATATTTGTTATTACTTTACAAAAAAAAGAAGAAATTTATTACTATAAAAACGAGAATCTCCATTAAGTGTAAGTATGTAGATATCCTGCTCGTAAAACTTATTTTGTATGTATTGAACACCACTTCTTTATGACCCGAACATTTAATATTCTTTTTTATTTTGTTCGTTAAAAATATAGAAAAGATTTCAGATAAAACCATCTAGACAATCCCTAAAAAGTGTCGGAAAAATTGTACCCTTTTTTATTTATATACTCCTTTACAATTTACCGACAAGAGATCGATTTGCCCATTTTGAATCTATTTAAAAAAATACGATATCGCATTTAATACGGACTTGTACATATTGTAAATTGGTGTCACTGCTAAATAAATAATATTCGGAATTTGATAATTCAGCAATAAGTCTTATTAGTAAATAGTCTGGAATAATGAGCAAACCTTTGACTATCCGTAAAGACACAAACAAACTGGATTTAAAAACGCATTCAAACTGCCTTCAAATAAAAATTACTTTAGCTTACTTTTAGGTTAATTTGACAGTTAACGTTTTATAAATATTTGATAGAACTACATTAATACAAGTACCTACAACACACACGGTAGTGATACCTCACCCCTTGGCAGGGTCACCACGATTTGTCACAAAAGAGAGAGAGAGAAAACCTGTTCCATTTCTGGTTCCAACCAGAACTTGTATTAGGCACATATTTGGATGTTAATTAATTCTATACTTTATCTAAATCTCAGAAATCGGATATTCTGTTGGTGGCCCTTCTAGGCTGCTATGTTAGATTTATAAATAGATAGTATCTACATATAAAGTTAATCTGTTCCTTTTGCATTCTTTGTGACTATAAAAATTTAAGTTGAGGTTTCAGGTTGCTTTTTTATTTTGTTCCATACTTCAAGTTATACAGCACTCTATTGGTGGCTACTTTTTAAACTTGTATTCATTCAACGATATTGTATTCATTTATCATGGATTTTACAATCGGCCTTCAGCTTGTACTTACCAATACTTGTGTCAGTCGCTGCGGTACCATGATGGGGAGGGACCGAATCGCAGAATGGGCCGAATTGAGTAATTTTATCACGTTCGCCATCTCATAGTTTCATAGTTGAGAAAAAGATACGTTGTCACATGACACTTTTTCTTAAGTTTTGATGGGGAAACGGTGTAAGTATAGCAAAATATAGGTTCGATACAGGTTATTCTTGTACGGCATTTGTAACTGTCAGCGTCTATATTACAACCGTTTTTGAAAAGTGTCTCAGTTAAATACTAACGAGGTAGTATGCTACTAAAAAAAACAAAAAAAATATTCAATCGTTAAATGCCTTAAAAATGTATTTTAATTTAACATTTTCTTCGCGTGTAGTTAAACTAAAACGCTGGACGCCTTGGACGCCATATTGCTCTACGGTCTTGACGTCATTACTTCTGTAAATAAATGCGTTACCTTGGTTACGAAAACATTAAAAGTACTGAATTGACAACTGACACTGGCATATACTACCGGTGTATGTAATAATGTGTCGTCTATAGTAGACGTAATAGCCGCCACATCATCGTGTTTTAAAACAGATTAAACTAAAAATTTTGGTTTGAATTTTAAAATGCATTTCCTTATTTTAACTGAAACTAAAGTTTTCCGAATCCTCCTTTTTTCCCCAAGCTATCGAAAAAATACATTTTTAGAATTTTTCTCAAGTACAGTGATATAGCCACATTCAATATATGTTATATGTTTATATGTTCCATATATGTGAGCTGTCTTTCTGTGTCCCAGAATGATGACCAATAGTTAATTTAAAACAGAAAATATAACTACAGTAGTAACAAATAGTCAATTATAGGTCCTTGCAGATAACAACAGATTAGACGCATACTCAAGATTGCTTCGTACAACCGTATAGTATATATTTTTTTAATGTTTTAGCCTTAGTGAAATCTCGTGAGTTACGCATCACGGATCCAAGGGCCCTGGTCGCTTTATTAATAATTGAATCAATATGAATGTCAAAAATAAGTTTGTCGTCGTGAAACACTCCAAGGTCTCTTTCGACTGTTTCCCCATTTAGTTTCTTATCCTTCAGTATGTAGTCAAAAATTACCAAATTATATTTACGGCTATAAGTGACAACATTACACTTCGACGGACGACCTCTCGTACTCTCAGGAAACAATGTTGGGCTTACGTAAACGAATATTGAAGTGGCGAATAGAGCTGACTATAAACAATTTTTGTAAGACCTTATATTAATATACTTATATAAATATACTTATATATCTACAGTATATATATTCCATCCGTTACCCTAGCATCCCATAACACAAGTCTTATAGTGCTTACTTTGGGGCTAGTAGTAGTAGTGTTTTACAAAAAAACTATCGATATAGGCTGACAAAAACGGACTGACGAAGGCACTGGATTTTGCCAGACAATATCCTCTGTTAGCTCATTGATTTATTTGATAGGCACTAAAGATGCAATAAACCAATTTTGCATCAGAAACAAGTTCAGACTCCTCTGGAAGTTTTTGTTTATACTGACTTTGACCAGACGAACCATCACATCCCCATTTACTGTGTAAAACTAAATAGCTCAATCCATTGTTATACACAGAATCTATAGCCAAAGTCCTAGCTGCGGTGTGGTCCAATAAATCTTGAAGAGTCAGTATTTTAGCATGTGTATTTGTAATTTCTATTGCTGAAGGTGGTGGATAACATCTTCATTTGATTTCTTCTCTTTGTGTTATTCTGATGAAATAAGGAATAGAATGAACTACGAAATACATTAATATACGTGGGACACTCAGAAAGTTTTCTCCACCAGCCTCTATATAAAGTTTTATGCGTCTGAACCAATTTTCAAAACATTTTTCCAGTCCTCTGCAGACACCTCTTGTACGGCCTTCTCAAACGCTGCTAGCGCTTCTTCCGGCGATGAAAACTGTATCCCTTTGTATTAACTGTATTTTTTATTAAAGGGAATAAAAAGAAGTCACACGGAGCCTAATCAGGACTGTAAGGAGGGTGTCCCAAGATTCTGACTGGTGTTGAGTCCAGGAAGTCCTTCGTTTTGATCGCAGAGTGCACGGGCTCGATGTCGTAGTGAAGAAGGAAACCGCGAAGCCCGATGTTAGGTCGCTTGTTGCTCATTGCAGAAAAAACTTCTGCCAGGCATTTTGTACTATACCATTCGGCGTTGATGCTGCTTTGGTCTCGAAGTGGAATTGAAATTAAGTACCCCGTCAAAGTAAAGAAACTAGCGATCAAAATTTTCCCTGGGCTCCTTGATCGCTTCTTTTTGGTAGGCGTTGGTTCATTTTGAACCAACCAAACTCTCGTCTGACGCTTTGTTTCTGGATCGTATTGATAAATCCAGGAGAGCCTGTCTAAAATTTCCACGGGCTTGCTTCCGAGCTTCGGTGAGGTTGTGCGGCACCCAGCGGGTAACTATCCTCCTTACGCAAACGTGCTCGTGCAAAATCTTGTGAACACTACCTGAACCAATCTGCAGAGTATTCTGAATCTCTTCGTGTGTAATTCGTCAGTTTCTTGAATTCATTTTTTTTTACTGCCAGCACACTTTCTTCGATGACAGAAGTCGTAGGATGACCACTCCTTTGTTCATCCCCCAAAGTAAGACGACCGCGTTTGAACCCGCTACACTAGCGGAAGATGGTTGCTTTTGAAGGTCCTTCATCCATAAAAGCAGTTCAAAATCGATCATATGACTCATCAGGTTTTAAACCACATTTAAAATCGTAAAAAATCATAGCACGAAAATTTTCTCGGATCTGCATGATCCATTTTTTAATGAGACAAAAAAATTGGCTCTCGAAAAAATGCGGAGGGAAGTTTGAAAATCGAACATTGGTATTTTTACTTTTAAAAAAGTGGCCAGTTTCTTATACATAAAAACTTTCTGAGTGGCCTGGTACAACAATAGCTGCATCCTACTAAGCATGCATCTACAATACAGTCACTAGTTAACGGAGAAATACTAAAACCAATGTTTAAAGAAGCGGAGTTTTCATAGTATCTCTTATCTATTAGACAAGTCCGTCCGTCCGTCCGTCTGTCCGTGGTACTGTTTCAGCGGCCAAACCGTAAGAGATAGATATAGAGAATGTTTAAGTTATAAGTTAAGAATAGTCTGATAAGACTACAAACCGGATGTGAGTAACGTAGCACTTCCGGTTTTCGAGAAATCACGTGATTTCTATTTCAAACGAAACCACACAAAATCTCCGAAGTTCTCAATTAATTAAATACAATTTTTTTTTTGTGAACATTTGGTTCACTGGTTTGCTAGTATTGCTAAAATATGATAATAATATCTAAATCTAAAATCGTTTCATTGGGCACCTACTTGACGATTTAAAAAAGAACTTCATTCACAGTGAACCCAGCAGAAGATGGCGCCTGCGTATTGGACAGAAAATATTCTTCGGGATCGGGCACGTTTACAACGACCTATGTGCCGCAATGTGGTTCTCTTACATGATGCTCTTCTTTCAAGCCGTACTGCATATGAGGGCAGCTGTCGCCGGCACAATGCTTCTCTTAGGTAATTTGAGATGGTAGTTTCGAGAGTCAATAAAGTAAGACACACCTTACATACATTCACTGCACCCACTTAGAGCAAGCGCACATGAGCCACTAAACGCGACCACTAGTAGCTTAGTCAAGCCACTAAGCTTCTAGCGGTGGCCACTCGATTTCTCTCAGTTCGATTGGTTGCTACTTCTAGTGGCTTGATTGAGTCACTAGTGGTCGCGTTTAGTGGCCGCAATTAGTGGACCCCCCACGACAACGGCTAACTAGAGCCAGGGTCCGAGTCTCAGATACGCCCTCTAGTTGAACCGACCTCTCAGGTTCCAGTGATCTAGAGGCTCCAGACGGAGAGGAGACTCCCCCCATGAGGAGATGCTATCCGCCTCGAATACTTCTTGAGGCACTCGCCAATTCACAGCTCGAGGGGGATATCGCCATCCCCAAACCCGGTGACGCTGTAACGGTAATCTGCGACCAACAGCATACACACTCAAAAAGTGGCTTAATGTGCGCTTTCTCTTACACATATAGTTACTTACTTACACATGCCAGCAGGCAGCACATCAAAGACCAACATGAAGATACAAATCAAAAAGATCACCCTCATTGCATAGTCACATTCGCATTGGGTGGGTTTTAGGCCTCGGATACACTTAATCCGTTATCGCCGAACTATGTTCAGACGTCGACGGCCGATTAAAACAATAGTTTGTATGTATGAATTCGGACGGGTGTCACTGGGCAACGGTTGTAGTAGTATACACACTCTATTTCTTTTACATACGTTTAATTTGATCTGCTGTGTTTGATCGATGACGGCCGAGCAGTTCGACCGATAGCGGATTAGATGTATCCAAAGCGTAACACGTTTTCCAGAAATACTGCACCCAATGTACTATTACTGTCAGACTAGTTGCACAATCCATCGACAGCTTCCTTATATGCTCTATTAGTTTTTTATAGCCTAAATATTACTGGCAGTTAACTCATCGGTGTTAACACAACTGAGTTAACTGCCAGTAATATACCACACCTAAATTTGTTGTGCGGTTTTTGGTGGATTTGTGATAATATAGAAAGACATGGAAAACCACCGTATAACATGCTTTTATTTATTTTACACTTTTAAAAAGTATAAAATAGTGAAGTGAGGTAAGTGAGTATTTGTATCTTCATGATAGGCTCATAGACATAGTTATATTAAAGACAATTTATGTTACCCACAGGGCAGATTGTCGATGCTCTCGCTACTCCTGCTGTAGGCATCCTGGCTGATCGGTACGGCACAAAGAAGTCTTGGCATTTATCAGGTGAGACCTTACGTTTTACCTTTCTACTCTATGTAGGTAAACTGATGGAGGCATGTTCTGAACTAAAATAAGCAGAAGTGATGACTTCAACTGCCGTAGAAAAAAAAAAATGGGTGCGTGAGAAGTTATCCTTCTTTGGCATCGTTTAAAATTAGTTTTTAATTGCATGCAAATAATTAATTACAATAAATTAATAAAAAGTCTGGAAAAGGACACAGTCAATAAAGTTCAGTTTTAATTTGAAAAAATAAATAAATAATCAAAATATTCAATTAAAATCGCTACTGAATATAATTTATTAGAACATATGTGATTTGCACTTGTATGAAACTCAAACACGTATTCCGAATATACAAACTAGAAACATGTGGATAAATATTATAAATATGAATACCTATAACTGTTACTTTATTACAAAAAATAAAGATGTGGTTTTTGGTTCTACTACACCAATGGTCAAGAGATGGCGCTGTAGTCTCCTGAATCGCGCTTTGGTTCCGTTGTTCCAGATTAATAAATACTTTTGATATTATAAATATGAATACTTATAACTGTAACTTTATTACAAAAATAAAGATGTGGTTTTTGGTTCTACTACACCAATGGTCAAGAGATGCCGCTGTAGTCTCCTGAATCGCGCTTTGGTTCCGTTGTTTCAGATTAATAAATACTTTTGATAGGCCTTCACAATGCAGTCTTAGCACCCACTAAATAGAGATTCTATTTCTATTTTGTTGGTAGATTTTCTTAATGTGCGGTAAACACAAAAGTAAAATTTTGTGTTACAGTGATGCGCGCGCATCTTAAAATTTCACTCTCATCATTTTTTCATAACGCGCCTAAAGAAGTATAACTTCAAAAATAAAGACTCTTCTAACCCGCGAAAGACCTGTTTTAGTTTTTTTAATCGATTTCAAAAAGGAGGAGGTTCTCAATTCATCAGTATATGTTTTTATTGTTGTTTACACAAATCTCCAAGTGTCGTGAACCGACTTCAATTATTCTTGTTTTTGATGGAATCAGTTTTTTTGGCATGAAGGTCCCATCTTAAATTAGTGAAGATCTGATGAGTACTTCCGGAGACACAATCGAACTCCTCAATTACAAACCTCAAGTACTCTATTCCTGTTTAGTTATTTTGAGAAATATGATTGAACGATAAGAAATATTGTTTTGTATAAAATAGTGTATTTAAATTTAGCGCAAACAAAACTACCTCCTGCCACCCTCACTACAGCAGATGGACATACTTGTGATGCAGAGGACTCTGCGGATCTTTTATTAGAGCACTTCTTTCCTAGTGATCCTCCTGAGCTCGACACACCAGCACAAGCTGCTTTAAGAGCTGATTGTTATACCATCCCACACAATCAGGATGATCTTCCATTCACTGCAGGTGAGATACTTGAAGCCCTCAAGAGCGTGTCATCCAAGAAGGCTCCTGGCCTAGACGATCTGACCTCAGACATTTGTCTAGCTGCAGTAGAAAGCTTTCCTTCTCTCTTTGTAGAACTGTATAACAGGTGTCTCACACTAGGTCACTTTCCAAGGAGCTGGAAGATCGCGTTGGTAAAAATTATCCCTAAATCGGGATCGAACCCTTCGGACTCTCTTAAATCCCATCGTCCTATTGGACTCATCGCCGTTTTCGGAAAAGTCCTGGAGAAACTCTTTATCAATCGTGTTGTCCACCATCTCTCCACTACAAACAATCTTTCCCCTTTGCAGTATGGTTTTAAGCGTCATAGCTCCACTGTGCAGGCTCTTCAAGACGCCTTGGAATTTATAAAACGTAGTCGGACCTCTGGCCTTCTGTGCATTGCGGTATCTCTAGATATCCAATCTGCCTTCAACAGAGCTTGGTGGCCGTATATCCTTCAACGACTGAGAGATGTTAACTGCCCAGCCAATATCTTCAAGCTCGTTTCCAGCTACCTCCAAGATCGCACCGTCCTCCTTAGTTATTCTGGTGCTAATTCATCTCGGGGAATGCAGAGGGGATGCGTTCAGGGATCGGCCTGCGGCCCAGCACTTTGGAATTTAATCCTTGACGGACTTCTTGGTCTGACGCTGCCCGATGGGTGCCGCATCCAGGCGTACGCTGACGACCTCTTGCTCATCACAACGGCTAAGGACGTTAATACTCTTCAGACTCGCACTTGTACCGCCTTAGATACGATCGCTGATTGGGGACATAAGGTCAAACTAGTCTTCGGCCCTGAAAAAACTCAGGCTCTTGCATTTTCTCCTAAAGCTGGTCGAGCTCGTATTTTTATGCAGGGTAGGCACATCGTCTTTGACCGCTACTTCAAACTCTTGGGTGTCATTATCTATACTTATAATAAATCTGTAGAGAGGTCAATTCTGTACATGAAATATATTTTCAAAATAACTATCAGGGGGTGATTAGTGATCGATACTAATGCCAAAAATGCAATCAGTAAAATTTTTGTCTGTCTGTCTGTCTGTGTGTATGTTCCCTATAGAAACAAAAACTACTCGACGGATTTTAACGAAACTTGGTACAATTATTCTTCATACTCCTGGGCAGGTTATAGTATACTTTTCATCACGCTACAATCAATATGAGCAGAGTAGTGAAGGGAAATGTTGGGAAAACGGGAGAAGTTACTCCATTTTTTAAGCTTCCGTCGCGTGTGTAGCCTTAATGGTTAAAGTTACATAGAAATCATGTATGACGGAAATATTCTATATAAAATTGTCTAAAAAATATCCCGCAACAACATATGTCTATCTTTTATGGTTGACTCACAATAACACGTGTAACTCCTGATAGCTTAGCAGTTCGGAGCATTCTGATTATATTTGTTTACTCTTACGTTTATAATACTCTCACTCATCCCTAATTTAAAAAAGTTAACATTATTACCTATTCAATAAAAAGAGAATCATAGAAATCGGTATAGAAACACCAAACTTATACATGAAATAAGCCATCGCGCCGTTGCACATTGTGTTATTTCACCTCAAAATTACCACTCCCTTGATTAAAGGTGAATCAGATAAAGCTCTTCATTCTAAGCGCAAGAGTAAAACTCCCACGATTCTAACTATAATAGTTTCGACGAAATCCCGGTTTTTCTTTTTTTGTACCACATTGTGAAAAAGAAATAAAAAAAAATTTTGTCTAAACTATTACAGTTATTTTATTTTTTACATTGTATTTCAAAAGGTATTATTTTTATCCATATTATGAGTCTTCTATGGCTGCCCTAGAGCTTGTAGGAACCGAGAAATCGGCGATTTAGTGATTTTGGTTTTTAATTTTTTGTGGTCATGTTATGCAATATTAAAGCTTATAATTTAGTTCAAAGTGTAGCTAATAATGTAGACTATCAACTCAAAAAATAACAAGCTTTAACTCGGTGGTATATCGGAAATATTAAGAATTTAAATTTGTGGGACAATGTCCCACTTTTTGAAGACGTAGTTATTGTACTTATTTGCAAGTATTAACATAATTGGATAATCTTACTCATTAAAAGAAGTACTTGCTATCTTTAAATGGTGTATCTGTATCATGGTGTACGTGAAGCTATCGAAATTTTGTTTAGATTTTCACGATAATATTTTTTTCATACTTATTCTTACTGGGACGATATTTTCTAGCGTATTGATGATGGAGTTGGCAAGTAGCCACAGAAACTCTGTAAGGAAAAGATATGGGCAAGTTTATTTGTGTTTTAGTTAATTAACTAACTAATTTTGTTAATTTGCACTTAATAGGGAAGAACTTAATGCCTGTGTGCCACATTTCATCCAAACAAGTTGGCCCACAAAAGTGGATGATTATGTAACAAACATACCAAACACATTTATAATCTTATATAAATAGTAAATAATATAATAACAACGTATTTATATAGTTATTTTAATATAATATTTAAAAAGTAGCATAACTACGTTTTCAAAATTGAGTGTTCAAAATGTGGGACAGTGTCCCACAAATTTAAATTCTTAATATTTCCGATATACCACCGAGTTAAAGCTTGTTATTTTTTGAGTTGATAGTCTACATTATTAGCTACATTTTGAACTAAATTATAAGCTTTAATATTGCAAAACATGAGCACAAAAAATTAAAAACCAAAATCACTAAATCGCCGATTTCTCGGTTCCTACAAGCTCTAGGGCAGCCATAGAAGACTCATAATATGGATAAAAATAATACCTTTTGAAATACAATGTAAAAAATAAAATAACTGTAATAGTTTAGACAAAATTTTTTTTTAATTTCTTTTTCACAATGTGGTACAAAAAAAGAAAAACCGGGATTTCGTCGAAACTATTATAGTTAGAATCGTGGGAGTTTTACTCTTGCGCTTAGAATGAAGAGCTTTATCTGATTCACCTTTAATCAAGGGAGTGGTAATTTTGAGGTGAAATAACACAATGTGCGTCGCACGTGAATACTGAATCATGCTATAAGGATTATTTTTGTGTAACGGTTGCCGCGCTCGACACGGGTCGCGGCGGCGCGGCGGTAGGGTATCAAAAGGCGGGAGGTCCGAAAACGAGCTTCCCCGCCACCCCGATCCTGAGAGACTTTCAGTCGCTCTGTCCTAAACCGATACGGATGAACATCAGAGTGCATCCGTCCTCTAAGCGCACTATGCAGTAGTATTTACTAAGGCAGCGCTGCATCATCCCCTTCTCAGGGGTTGATCGCGTCAGATGAAGCCTGTATGGCCCCTAAGGCCATAGGCATCCCCCATGGGTGTGTTTTAGTCAGTAAGAGTCTGACATAACCCTACAGCCGGCTGTAGGGTATCCATGAGGATTTCACACCTGCTCGCCCGCCTGGGAGGAAACAAAAAAAAAAAAGAAAGCGAGCTTTATTCAATATTTGTCTGTTGATGCGTTCAAAGCGTTCGACCTTATTGACAGACAATAATTGATATTAAGAAACCGTGCTTATCTTAGAATAAAAACCAAACATTTCTAAACAAAATTAGCAAATAAATCATGTAAAACGTGTA